ACCGCAATCTAGATTCAGTGATTCTGCTAGATCTAGATTTGTGACTGGATCTAGCGAGTGCGCACAGCTTCACTGCATCAAGATTCTTCACACTGCTCACACCCAAAAATACCCTGGCCCGTGACCAACCACTGCTTGCATGCATGCACTTGCACTAGCGTACGCTGCACGCTGCACAGCTGCACTGGTGCATCGCGATGCAGTGTTCAGACACTACTCGTCACAGCTTTGGGCTTTTTTTGTGTCACATGATCGCACTTTTTCTGCACCCCCTTTTTGACTTCACCGCGCCAGTCTCCCTACTCCGGTGATCAAGTGAGCAAACGAGCAAACGTCACTGTACCATGCTATGCGCTGCAGCAACAGGCACACGACCACGTAGCTGGCTTGCAGGCACACGTGCACGCGAGCACACTGCGCTGTATGCACTTCTACTTGCCTGCAGGCACGCTGCACTGAAGCAAGAAGGAGCACAGCAGAGGAACTGCGGAGTAGAGAAGCAAGGATGGATTCGTTTCCATGTGATTGGACAAGAGACAAGCAAGCACGCAGAGAACGACGAGGAGCAGCGCAAGGGACACGTTTGCATGTGTGTGTGCATGCATTTGTGTGTAGCTGTTGCCTGCAGGCACGGGAACGTGTTTCTGATTAAAGTGGATTGGATGAGTAGCAATCCTCTGCTCACTGCAAGCACACTTGCATGTGATTGTGCAGTGCTGCTGTGTTGCTTGCAAGAACTCGTACCTTCTCCTACTTGCTTTGGATTCACTTGACCACATCCCTCTACCCACTGCTGTGTTGCTTGCAAGCACTCACAACTTCTCCTGCTTGCATTGGATTCACTCCACAACATCCGTCTACTTACTCGCAAACGCTCACAACTTCTCCTGCTTCCAATTGGATTCCACTCCACCACCCTCTACTCACTGTTGGGTTCACTTGCAAACACTCACAATATCCCTTGCTTGCATTGGATTCACTACACTACACTCCTCTATTCACTCGCAAACACTCACAACTTCTCCTACTCCCATTGGATTCACACTCGTCTACTCACTGCAGACACTTCGTGTGTACGCTTGCTTGCTCTGTGCATGTTGCTCGCAAGCACCCACAACTTCCCTTGCTTCCACCTTGTTCACTTCACAACACTCCTCCACTCACTCGCCATTGTGTCACAGCATCACCCACCATGCCTGCACGCACCTGCAATCGACCTTTTATCAATCCACACCATCACTCACACACCGCTCTGTCACCCCATCACCACTTCACGCCACACGACTTTACTCGGCAGAATCGCCTCGCTCCTTGTATTCACGCTCCAACATCCCCTGCGCTTCCTCTCTCGCCCCCAGCAGCAATATGTTCAGGTGCGTAAGAAGCTCGCTGCGATCATCTTCTCCTCTTCCCACTTCACCTTCTCTCGACGTGCATGCGTGCTACTGCTTGCAATGTTTGTGCTTCTACTCCCTTTGCTCCATCTCCACAACACAACACAACACAACACAATCACAACACACATCCATGCATGTGCCGCCTTGTCCCTTTGTCTCACCCTTCACTCACTTGCGCCTTTCCCTCTTCCCTTTGCCTTTCCACATTCCATGTGTTCCATTGTTGATTTGCACTTGCTGCCACATGCTTCATTCAGCCTTGTCTCTCTCCCTCTCTTCCATCCACTCACCGCCACACAGTACCTATCCTCACAACATCACACATTCGTCACTTCATTTCACGCAACACAGCACCACCACACAACCCGCTGTGTGCATTCGTGCTTCTCTTCGTCCTTTCCTTCACCACCTTGTCACCACAAGCCTTGTTTGTCCATTTCACCTGCGTTCCACCACCCCTCCTGTCTTGTTTCAATTCTTGCCACTGCTGCGGTTGTTTCCATGCGCTTGCATGCCTTCCCTTGTCCCTGTTCACTACTTTGTGCTGCCACTCCTTCCCTTTCCCCTTCCCATACCCTTTCCTGTCTCGTTCATGTTTCATGCTGCATGTGTTACAGCACATCATAAACCCATCAAGCCCACACTGCCGCCTTCTTCACCACCATCCCTGTTCACATTCATCACCACCAGTCGCTGCCATCATCGCTCGCTTCATCCTTTCCCCACACTCCCACGTTCAAAGTAGGTGCTGCTTTCCTCACCTGCATGCAACACCCACTCCACAGCCACACGCCCAGCTCACCACCAATCCAATCATGTCACAACATCACAGCAACCGTGTCGACTTCACTGCAACCACCAACACCCAGCCACCAGCACCACCACCACACGATGCACACGGCTGCACATGCGTGTTGCATTGTATGTTTCCACTTCACTTCAGCAACACGACAGCAAGCAAGCAAACACACAGACACACGTGGCAGGAACAAGCGAGAAAGCATCCCCATATCAACTGCAATCAACACACACACAACACACACAACAAGCGACAGCTCCATGCTGCGCCACACCGCTTCACTCCCCCCATCAACCGCCATCATCACCTTCCACCAACAACAACAACAGCAGCAGCAGCAGTGTGCATGCTGTGGCAAGAGAGAACAGAGAGAGAAATGGAAAGGGAGGGAGGAAGGCAGAGGGATACAAGGAGAGAGACGTGCCCGCTGTCAACAACAACATGACACAACACGACACAACTCACACACAACACAACACCACCCGCTCATGCTCCCCTCCTTCTCCAACAAGGTGCGTGGTCTATGGCAGCCCCACGTCTTTCTTGCTTGTCCTGTGCCCTTGCTTGCTCGTGTCCTTGCTTGGTTGTGCGTGCCTTGCCATGGGTTCCAACAAACAGCCTGCACTTCCCCTGCACAAGCGTCCATGTGCTTGTGTGTGTGCATGTGCGTGTGTGTGTGGGGATGACAAAGAGGGAAGAGGGAAGGGAGCAGAAGAAGAAGAAAAGGGGAGATGGGCGGTGCGTGAGCAGAGACGATGGTGACGGGCGCACACGACGTGGTTGTGGTGAACACACACACACACAGACACACAGAAGCAGCATCGCACAACAGACACAACAAACACAAACAGGGGGGAAACGAGAGCAGCAACAGTGATGCAACACACACATGCACACACACACGCACCAAGGGAAGGACATCAGCCAGCCAGCGTCATCCAACACCCCTTGCATCCACTGGTCCATCCATACAGCAATGGTGGTGGCAGCAGGAGAGGGAGAGGGGGAGGAGAGGAAGGGGGAGGAAGAAGAGTGTGCAGTGCCTTGCTTGCCTTGCCTGCCTGTGTGGAGATGTGTGTCTGCACACCCGCTCACTGTCTGTGTGTGTGCGTGTGTGTCACCATCCATACAAGCACATGTGTGAGACAAAGGGAAGAAAGCAGCCACCATACACACACACACACTGTGTGAATCACAAGCAGACACAGCATGAGCGACATGCACACAGTCACACACATGCAAGTGCAACGCACCGTGAGGTAGGCGTCAGATTGCCAGTCAGCGTGTGTGTGCGTGTATTCACACACTCACGTGTGGGTCGATGCAGCCTATCATCCCTCTCTGTGTGCGTGAGCCAAATACATCCACAGCAGCAGGAGTGCGTGTGAGATCACAACACCCACCACAGCCACGTCCACCTCTCCATCAACAAACACACAATCACACACAAACACCCGCACAGCGGTCAAACCAACTGACAGAACTCACCCAAACTCACGGTGCCAGCGTGTCGTGGGCCTGTGCATTACATATGTCAGCCTCACCGACCGTGGGCAACGCCTTGCATGCCTTTGGCCCTGCACACATCCATGGTGTGGGCGCTGCTGTGCGTGTTGTCTGTTTGCACCTGTGCACCATCAGACCATCACCCACCACACCCCACACAATCCATGGAACCAAACGAGACCACCCACAACAGGACCGCCAGTGAGTGCCCGTCACAACGCACACCCTCTCCCTCCTCTCCACCAGCCACGCACACGCACACGAACAACGCAACCCACCACCTCCCACTCAAACACACACGCACACACGCACCTTGATTCACGTTTTCGCCTGTCGCTTGTCGCTTGTCTTGTTGGTCTTGTTGATTCGTGTTTGGGCGATTTGTGGAAGATGCCACAAATAATCGCCCACTGCTGCGTTTGTGCGGCAACTGCTTTTGCTTTTGCTTGTTGAAGGGCGGACTTGCTTTGCTTGGTTGCTTTGCTTGGTTGGTTGGTTGGTTGGTTTCAATGAGACAAGAAGCAGAAGGAGAAGAAGAAGAAGGGGAACAACACTGTGTGTGTGAATGCAACGCAGGTTCACATGCCTTGCAGCCTGAGGAGGGAAGGGGAGAAGGGGAGAAGAAAGGGGGGATGGAAAAGAAGAAGAAACAAACACACACACACACACACACACACACACACACACACACACAGAGCTGTGGACAGCATGCGCACCCTCTCCTCTCCTCTCTTCTTCTCCTCCTTCTCCTCCTCCTTCTCACAGTCACAACAGACAACCACCAGCCACACAAAGGGCTGGAAGAGAAAACAAACAAGGCAGCAGCCACCCAGCCAGATCGCCATGGAAGAAAGAGGCGAGGCGATGGAGGGGGGGGGGGAAAGGAGAACACCGTCAATCAACACACACGCACACACATCTGTTGGGAGCCCCACGTCTTGTGTCCTTGCTTCCCCTCTTCCTTTCCTTGGCCTGGGTTGAGTTGGGTTGGTTGAGGTGGCACAGCTCGCCATGGCGTGTCATGCCTGGATGCGTGGGCATGGGTGTTGGATGTGGATGGGCTCCTCTCTCTGCGTGTGTGTGAAAAGGAAGGGTTGGAGGGAAACAGTGGAAGGGGTGGCAGCAGCAGAGAGGAGGAGGAAGAAGGAAAAGAAGCAAGGGGAGGGGGTGGATGTGAGCATGTCACGCATGAATGAACAATAACAGCACATGGGGTGAGATGAAGGTGATGTGCTTGGTGTTGTGTGTTGTGTGTGATGGCACAAGGACAAAAAGGTCACACACACACACACACACACCTCGTCGTCGATCAACGCATCTTCCCGACATATGCGCACACGCGCACGCACATCTGCAGTCACACACACACACGCAGTCAGACATGGCATTGCAGAGTGAGACAGCGCACCACGCACACCCATACACAGCAATGCAACACAACCACCACAACCACCACCACAACGACAACATCTCTCCCCTCTCCCCATCTCCATCCCCAAAATGCACTGTCACATGGCCAGATACACAACCGAGGCGGTGATGGTGGCCATGATGAACGCCTTCCTCCCACTTCCCCCCGAACCCCTTCCACCAAAAACACGCACACCATTGCGTGCCCTCACCTCGTGCATCGTGTCGCTGTCGGCGTGATTGATGGCGCTGCGCACATGTACACGCACGCACGCACACATCGCTGTGTATGTGTCCCAGTTGAGATGAGCAACGGAGGGAGAGATATGGGCGACATGACACGATGGCCAGTCAACCCCAGCCAATCCAATCCGGCATCCACCGCCGTGTGTTGCCTGCTGCAGTCATCATCACAACCACACAATCACAAGCACAGGTGCAAGGAAAAGGAATGAGCCGCTGATATGTGTGTGCCATTGTCATGCGATACCACCACCACACGACATCACGTGCATGGATGTGCACACGCACTCCCCATCCCCCAACCAACATCATCGCCCTCTTATCACTTCCCCTCCCTCTCCCTCCTTTCGCTCTGCACTCCCACGTCGCCTCATCACCACCACCACCATCACCACCATCAGCGTGTCACTTCCCTCCTTCCCCTGCTTCCCACCACTCCACACAACACAGCCCACCAACCAACCAACCGCCAACAATCATCCTCACCTGTGCTTGATGCAGCTTACCAGCCAGCCGATGTGCCACATCGAAGAGCCAACAAATGGAACCGCAATCACACGCCACGGCCACCTTCGTCACCGCTGATGGAGCAGAAAGAGGAGATGAAGGGGGAAGAGCGGTGGGCACGGGCCGTGTCCTTCCTTGTCTTCACCGGTGCAGCCCCAAACACGGCGCACAGCGCACAGGCACACGCACGGCCATCATCACAGCAGCCACCAGCAGCAGCGAGCCAGCCTGCCCTGCGTGCCTGTGAGGCAAGAAGAAACCAACCAGAGACGAACAACAATGACCGGCGATGGTGAGGACATGAAAGGAGGGACACAAGGGACCACGCATGGGAATATGCAGCATGATGTGGGCGGGTGCATCACCTATACACAAGAACAACGAAGCAAGCACCCAAGCAAGCAAGCAGGCAGGCACAAAATATCACCACCATCACAACATCCACATCCACTACAGCTGCTGCAATACCTGTGTTGGTCGCTGTCTCGAGCACGCCTCAACAGCGCCACATCGCATGGGGAAGGCTGATGATGACGACACAGAGCAAAGGCGATTGGTTGGAAAAAGAAGAAGGGGATTCGGTTGGGGAAACCCACACACGTCCGCCTGCAGCCACGCACGGACACGCACACGCACATGTGAGTTGTGTGATTGATTCATGTGAGACACACGTCAGTGCCACCACCCCACAGCCAATGTCTGCTTTGATGTGTTGGCATGCATGTGTACACGCGTGCGTATGTGTACTACCACCCCATCACCACACACACACACACGCACACACACACACACACACACACACACACACACACACACACACACACACACACACACACAGCCCCAGCGTCTCACCTCGTGCCTTCTTTTCTCACACATTTGTGTGTGCGTGTATCGCCCTGCTCGTGTCATGAGGGCTTGGGAACAGAACGGCCACCGTCCTGTGCAAATCACATGCATGTGCACATGCGCAAGCACAAAGAACCAAATTAGCACGAATCACACCACGCAGTGAGCCAGCATGGCAGAAACAAACCACATCCACCTTCCTTTTGTCACATTCACATCACCCCACATCACCACCTGTGCACGCACATTCCAAACACAGATACACACCACCACCACCACCACCACCACAAGCATCACACCTGCACATGCGTGTGCGTACGCAAGTCCACATCCACCACAAATCACTCACCACCATCATCATCATCATCGTCATGCGAGGCAACGGCACATCGACGCACATTACACCCCCTGTACGTGTGCGTGTGGAGAAAGAGGTGAGTTGGCACAGAATCAGGCTGTCAACGACAACAAAACCCATTGCCACCACCAACAGACCCAACGACATCCAACCAGCACCGCACAATCACACCCGCATACATGCTGATGTTCACACCCAACACATCACACACCACTCACGTCACCACAACCACCGCCATTCATCTCACCTCCACATTCACGGTCGCAGCCGCTGCTGTTGGTGACCAATGACGAGGAGGACGAGGAGGAGCAGGAGATGGACAAGAGGCAGAGGGCCAGTTCATCCACAATGCAGCCACATCAGGTACTGCTGTTGCTGATGGTGAAAACGGTGAAAACAAACGGCCCCTTGCCACGCCGTGTCCATTGCTCGCTCGCTCGGCTGTTTGGTTGGTCGGTTGGATGGGGACGGGATGCATGGCCCTGTGTCCAAATCAATCGAAAAAAAAGGGGGAAGAAAAGACACATGAGTGGACAGAACGGACAAGGAAAGAGGGAGGCGAAGAAGGGAACACAACATGTCAACCAACACACACACACATCTCAGTCGCCCTTCTCACCTCCATCACTCGTCATCGTCATCGTCGTTGGTTCCACCGCTCCATGCGCCTCTTCAACGCTGTGATTCGTGTGTGCACACACAAGAAGAGGAGAATGCGGGTGGTGAGGTTGACAGCGAAGCATCATCAATCACACGCCATCCCCATCCAACCACCCGCATTGACACACAATTACACACATACATGTTGTCCCCACTCACCACCACGACACACACACACACACACACACACATGCTCACCTCTTCATCAGAGCGGCTGACACGTGCAATGTCTGCCTCACGCCAGATTGGAGCTGGTGTTGGCCGGAGTGTGATGGCGGCTGTGCAGTCGATGGCGATGATGGCGATGACAGCCGAGCTGAGGTGGAAGAGAGGAAAAGGGGAGAGAATTGGGGAAGGTTGATGTTGGGGATGATGTGTCGTTCATGGCGGCTGCTTTCCCCTCCTCTGATGTGGCCCTGGCGCCCATGCAACCAACACACAACGACAAGACACAACGGCATCATCACACACAAGGCACAGGCATGGCATGTGAGCACAGCAGGCGTGTTCACCTTCCTGCTCCCTCCTCTGCTTTCCTCCACCTCGCCCCACCACACACACATACACACACACGCACATGACTGCGTCGCTGTTGTTGCATGTGCCCACCATGACCATGGACGTGTGTGTTCACAGCTGCTCCTCCCAATTCATCATGTGTGTGCACCGCCCATCATCCGCCAACGATCCTCACGCAGTCGCTCCCTACAGCCGCAAACACACACATGCACACATTGCATGTGAGTTGCACAGCTACACTGCTGCACCAGGCACAGCAGCAACAACACCAACACATGCGCCATGTGCCAACCAAAGCAGCCATGATGGGCTCACCTTGCTCACGCATATGGGAACACTGCGTGAGCACAGCAGCGACAGCCGAATCAGAGGAGTTGCACCAGCAGCAGCCGGCATGCTAGCCCGCTTCCATCATCAACATCCTGATGTGTGCTGGTACCTCAGCACCTGTGCATGTGTGCGTGGTTACAGGGAATGTGGATGGGAACACAACACAATGGGCACAGAGCAAGCCATCATGTCAGCACAGCTGAACGAGTGAGTGACATCACATTCACACGTGTGCGTGTGTGTGCGTGTGTGTCGATGTGTGTGTCCATCATCCCCCCATCAACCCCTCTTCCTCTTGTTCGCTTCACCACATCCACACACACACACACACACACACACACACACACACACACACACACACACACACACACACACACACACACACACACACAACCAACCACTCATCACCACCCACATACCATATGTGAGGCGAGTCAAGTATCCTCGACATTTCCCTCATCCTGCTGCCTGTGCGTGTGCATCGCCTGTAAGTGTGTGGTTGTGTGCGAGCACCAGCATGGTGAGTGAGTGGGAGGGAAGAGGGAGCATGAATATGTGCGCAGCTACACTGCTGCCACTGCTGGTGTTGTGCGTGCATGTAGGTGTGTGAAGAAGAAAGGGGAGGGAGAAAACAGAAAACAGAAGGCAAGGAACAAGACATGCTGCACCCCATCCATCCATCCATCCCTCTTCCTCACCACCACACACCACCGTCCTCTGTCACCAGCCAGCCACACCACACCCCACCACACTCACCCAGCATCCCCCATCCCACCTCATCCATCCATCCACTCCGTTTCCCTCTTCTTCTCGGCTGTTCCAGCCGAAAGTGCAACTTGTGCTGTCGCCACCTGTTCCCAGCAGGCAGCCAGCTGCTGCCAGGCAGTGGGCGATGGGTTGGTTGGTTGGTTGGTTGGAGGGATGTGCTCAGCAGCAAGTGGTGGTGGTGGTGGTGCATTCTCTGCTGCTGCTGCTGCATTGGCGGTAGAGGGTGTTGGCTGCTGCTGCTGCTGCTGCTGTTGTGATGGCCGTCAGGGAGGGCGAGAAAGAGCGGGGAAGAAGAACAGCGACTGCAAGGTGGAGAATGTGCAGGTGTGCAGCCAGTTGTGCGTGTGAGAACGACGAATGAGACAGCGCATCACGCAAGGCAAAACAGGCAGCCGCACGACACACATGCATGCACATTGATGTGGGACAACAAGGGGAGAAACAGCAGCAACAGAGACAGCGACCACAAAACACGCACACTGGTGCTGTGCGCAGCACACACACGTGCAGTGATGCACTCACGTTGCTCATCGCTTGCTTGCTTGTGGTGTGGTGTTGGTGTTGCTGTTTCCACAATCGCACAAGCGTGGCTGGATGGTCATTACATGGCAGCGCCCGTCTGTTCATCCCACCAGAGCAGTGGTGGTTGATGGAGGGGGAGGGGGTGACAGCTGCTGGCTCAAGGCCCTCTGTGTGGCGACAGCAGAAAGAAGGAAGGGGAAACGAGCACGTGTGGAGGGTGGTGGTGATGGTGTTGAGGAGGGAGAGGGAAGGAGGTGAGCAAAGACACAAGAAGATGAGGCGGTGATGATGGCGTGTGTGGTGGGTGGAGAAGAGAACACGCACGTCAACACACACACACACACACACACACACCTGTCTGGGTGATGCAGTGGCTCGATCACCATTCATCCGGCAGCACGCAGTCATTGTTGGTTGGTGAGGGTTGCCCACTGCCTCACGCATCAGCCAGCACCTGCTGCTGCTGCTGTTGATGATGATGTAATCCATCCATCTGCACGCACCATCACAAACAAGCAAGCAACAGCAGCAACAGCATTGAGCAGCGTGTCACAGACAGAGAAATGAGGAAGAGAAAGAAGGATGAGAAGAAACACAACCCGTGCACACACACACACACACACACACACACATACACATTGGCTGTGATGTTGGTTGATGCCATTTCCCCCCTCTCTCCCATGTGTGTGCTGCTCACTGGATGAGAGGTTGCATGATCCATTCTCAGGGTGGCCGCTGCATGACGGTGGCTGATGGCAGCTGTTCTGTCACCACACAACGGTGAGCAAGTGCGTGTGTGAGTGTGAGTGTGTGCATTTGTGAGTGCCACACGCTGCGGTGTGTGTTGGTTGTGATCCACACAACCATGTACGGATGCGTGGATGGATGGTGGTCCACATGTGTGTGTGCACGGTGACAGCGTGCGCTGTGTTGTTGTTGTTGTTGATGATGATGATGGTGGTTGTTGCTGTGTGCAGTGTGCAACGAGAAGAAGATGAAGAGGAGCACGGAGTGGGAGGAAGAAGTGGGTGCACTCAATCTCACCCTCACCTGTCAATGGATGGGTCATTCATGTGGTCGTTGGTTGGTTGGTTGGTTGGTTGTGCGTGATTCATCACAGGAGAAGAAAATGGACAACGATGGATGGATGGATGGATGGAAGGGAGAAGGGAAGGAGAAGCGGGGAGAGACGGTGCGCACACCCTCCCTGTGCATGTGTGTGTGTGTGTGTGTGTGTGTGTGAATGCGTCAGCGAGGACGACAAAGGGAAGGAAGGAAGGAGGGAAGGAAGGAAGGAACGTGGCACGCACAACCACCAATGTGTGTGTGTGTGTGTGCGTGCACGAACCAATGACACATCCCCATCTCACCCCACTTCATCTCACCTCACCTCACCTCAACTCACCTCACCTGCCTGTCAGCAGCGACGACGACGACCATGGTCACCATCACCATTCCCACCATCATCACCATCACACCAGCTGCTGCGCAGAAGAAGAATGAAACAACGGCGAGTGGGTTGGTTGGTTGGTTGGTTGGAAAGCAGAATCGGTTGTTTGCTCGTTTCTGCTTGCTGCTGCTGGGTGTGGGATTTTCCTCTTCCTCTTCTTCTTGCTTGCTGCTTGCTGGCTCTGCCTTTATAAATTGCTCGTCTTACTCTTCTGTCGGCAACGTTCATACCAACGGGATCACGCCCGCTCTCGTCCGATCGCGGAAGCTAAGCCCGTTTGGGCCCGTTCAGTACTGCCGTGGGTGACCAGGCGGGAATCACGGGTGATGTTGCTCTCTTCTTCTTTTTTTTCTCTCTCTTCTATATCTGCTGTGGTGCTGCTGCTGTGGCGCTTGCTATCTCTCCTTCACTCCCCTCTTCTCTTCGGTTTACCTCTTGTTGTGCTTCTTCTTTGCTTGCTGACTTGCTTGCTTCCACTTGGGGGTGAAGAGGTGGTGGCGTGTGTTGGCTCACCTCCCCTCTTCCCTCTTGTTGCTTGTCTTCAGCGTAGCTTTGCTTCACACACACACACACACACACACACACACACACACACACACACACACACACACACACACACACACACACACACACGCTCACACACACACACGCTCACACACACACACACACACACACACACACACACTGCCTGGCTGACATCGTGTCATCTCAACGCGTTTACTTCCATGCAGTCACACACGCACGCACACACACACACACATACACACACACACACGCACACACGCACGCACGCATCTCTCTGTCTGTGTAACGATGCCTTGAATGGCCGGAACAAACAGTGGCAACGAGAAGCCAAACGCAGGTTGGTTGCCCGACCGTCACGTGAGGGACGAAACCCAAGAACAAGGCAGGCGAGAACACGCCACGGATTCGAACACACACACTGACACACACTGACACACAACGCACACACACACACACATACACACACACTAACACACACTCACAGACTCACAGACACACAGACACACAACACACACACACAGACACACAGACACACACACAGACACACACAGACACACACAACACACACATACACACACATACACACAACACACACATACACATAACGCACACACACAGACACACAGCTCAAGTATCACAGGGCAACGAAGCAAAAGGGATCGAGGACGAGGGCGGTGTGGTGGTCGTGGGGCAGCATGTAGATGTTGCCGTTTGGTGCGGCAACAGCGCCATTCCACTTGTACTCGACTGAAGAGACGGAGATGGACGTGATGTCAGTCGTGTTTGTGCTGGTGTTGATGATGAGGCTCGAGGAGGCGCTGTGCGGGGTGGCAAAGATGTATGGGCCGCTGGGGGCAAGGACGGCGCCAACCCACTTGTTGGGCGCGGACGACAGGTCGCCAAGCGTGGTGGTGTCAACGGCATTTGTTGCGGGGTCGATGACGAGCACGGATTTGGCGTTGAACGGAATGCCGTAGACCTTGCCGTTGCTGCCGAGCACGGCGGAGACCCACTTGTACTCGTCGGAGGAGAGGCCTTTGATGGTAGTTGTGTCTGCGGTGTCGGTGGTCGGGTCCACGATGAGAACCGCGCGCTCGCTGGCTGGCACCGCATAGATTTTGCCGTTGTCTGCAAGGACGGCGCCGAACCATTTGTTGTCACCGGAACGCACGCTGATGGTTGTGGCCTGGTCCGTCTCCGTGTCAATCACCAGCACAGCGTCAGCGTTGTCGGGCACGGCGTAGATGTTGCCGTTTGGAGCAAGCACGGCGTCCTCCCACTTGTCTTGACCGGAGACGAAGCCCTTGATGGAGGTCGTGTCCACCGTCTTGGTTTCCGGGTCGATGATGAGCACTGATGTGGCATCCTGCGGCACACAGTAGATCTTGCCGTTTGGCGCGACTGCTGCGCCTGTCCACTTGTTTTCGGCCGAGCCAACGTCGGTGATGGACGTCAGGTCGACTGTGTTGGTGCGTGGGTCGATGATTGGCACGATGGATGAGCTGTACGGGCTTCCATACACCTTGCCATTGTGTGCCAGGACTGTGGAGCGCCACTTGGCGGCGTCATCGCCGAGGCCGTCAATGGTCGTCTCGTCCACACCGCCGTCGCCACGCCTGAGGCACGTCAGCACGCGGTTCATCCTCTCTGCTTGCTGGCGCAGCTCCAGCATCTCCTGCGCTACGTCCACCCCATTCAACAGCACGCGCGTGGTCAGCGGGTCGGTTGTGTTCACGTGCAAGTTGCCCCAGTCGTCCTCCTTCATCGTCGCTGCCTGTGTTTCGAGCATGCCCCACCAGCAGCAGCACACGGCGAGCACCACCGCCATAGCCGCCATCATATCCCCGCCGGAGCTTCGGCGTGTGTTGGTGGGCTTGGTGGGCTTGGTGGGCTCGGTGGGCAGCATCCCTGTCGTCCTGGCCACTCGCATCCTTCTTCTGGCCTGTCTGCGTTCCTGGTGCGTGCAAGCAAGCAAGAGCAGCAGCGCAAAGCGCAAAATGCCACAATTGGCAAGGTATGTGCAATTGGCAAGGTTGCGTTGTGCAAACTGGCTGGGCTGCTTGCTTGGCGATTGGATTGTGTTGTGAGATGTGACTGTCATGGCGTGGCGGTATGGTGCTGGGGTGTGGCATTTACGTCGTTGAACGTGAACTCAATCGCGAATGTGAAGACATATCAGTTAAACGGTAAATGAAAAGAGCAAAAGTGCATGAAGGGGTTGGCGAATCAAATCCACACAGACACACACACACACACACATACACACACACACACACACATACACACACACACACACATACACACACACACATACACACACACACACACACACACACACACACACACACACACACACAGGCGAAGGCACGCAACGCGTGCTACAGGAAGAGCTTCAGCACAGTTGTGCTGTAGTTGCGGCAAACGGCACAGGGCCGGCCCGCCCGAAAGTGCTCGGCACATTCTGCACAGTACAAGTGGCCACAAGGCACGAGCGCGTGGTCCAATGTCGCGCCATCCCTGCACACAACGCAACATTGATCAAATTAGCCACCAAAGCACGCAGTCAGCCATTCATCATACCCACCCAACACACACACACACACACACACACGCACGCACACACAGACACAGACACAACACAGACACAGACGCAGACACAGACACAGACACACACACACACACACACACACACACACACACACACACACACACACACACACACACACACACACACACACACACACACACACACCCTGGGCCTTCAAGGCAGACGGGGCAGGTGGTTGTGCCATGTCGTTGCTGTAACTGGAGCTGTTCCTGCTGCGTCTCCAGCTCAGCAACCCGCCGACGCAGCTTCTCGTTCTCGTCCTCCACGTTGATGGCTTGATTGAACAGGTCAAACTCCTGTTCGGTGGCCCGCACGTTCCGTTGTCGCATCAGATCCTTCACCAGCAACACAAACTCCGACGTGTCTTGATTGCCACGTGCACCGCTCGTGATGGAGGCCGCTGGCGTGTTCCCCACATCGTGGCCGGCTCCTGTGTCAGGCGCGCTCACTCCATCCTCGCCAAACTTGGTCGAGAACACCTGGACCTCCGTGGGCAGCATGCGCTGCAGCTGCCCGCCAATGTCCACGGTGAGCGCGGGCACCGCCTGTACGGCATCGCCGCTCTCCAGTTCACGCGCGGGAATTGGGGCACGTGTGACCCGAGCGTACACAAAGTGCTCGTCCTTTCGAACAGCAATCATCTGCGGCCAATGCAAGGCAGAGTGTGAGCAGGAAGACGTTGCGGGCACTGACACATGCTGTGCATGTCTGTAAAACGAAATTGAAGCCAAAGCCAGCGGAATGACACAACCACACACACACACACACACGAACACACACAGACACATGCACACCTCGCCAAAGTAGAAATCGTGTTCATCGCTCGATTTGAGCTGCGCAGCGTCGATATCCAACAAACGGTGGCCCGGCACGGCGCGTCCGAAATGCGAGCCGTCCTGGCGATGGTGCGCACGCGCGATCCGTCACGTGTGAGGAGAAGGAAAAAATGGGATACGCTGTCATAACCACTTCCAACACACACGCACACACACACACACACACACACATTCACACACACACACACACACACACACACACACCTGCGATGGGATCATGCCGAGGTGATGGGCGATTTCGGTGCACTGCTCAGGCGTAGTTGCCCGCAGCAACGGACCGATAGCAAGGCCACTTCCTGGTGTCAACGACTGGTGTTAAAGCAAGCAATGACAAGTAGTGAGTCACGCGAGGGAGTTAGGAGTGGGGTTGACAACAAGCCGCCTTTGGTCAAACAAACCGATGCATCCAAGACATACATCGTGACAAGGGTGGTGAAAATGCACAACGACAGCCCCCCCCCACTTCCCCCCTGCCATCTCCTCAGGAAGAACACGTGTGTGCTCACGCTCACCTCAGCAAGGCATCTGGCAGCGAGCTCGTAGGGGTCAGCAATGGCACATGCGCTGGCTGTGACCCAGATGGTCTTTGTTGCCTGATCAAGAAAGTATGGCAGTTCGTGTCCACCTCTGCGCACATCCACAGGGTGCGATGACGATGGCAGTCGCACCTCACATCTGCGTAACAGACAGTACACCAGTCCATGTGTGAGCATGAGCTTGTCTCAAATGCAACCACCAAGCACCACAAACGTCGCGCACGCAAGAACCACACACACACGTAATGCAAACACACACACACACACACGCACACATAAACGTCGCGCACGCAAGAACCACACACACACACACACGTAATGCAAACACACACACACACAAACTGACTTGAATTCGATGTGGTCTGTCTCCTGGACCGTAAGGCTGGAGAGCATGGCGAGAACACGCAACGACTGCCCAGGCACAACGTCGCCGTGGTGGCGGTACACCAGCGTCTCAATGACACGTGCGTGGTCCTCCGTGATGCGGAAACGCTGCACCCTGCCGCCTCCGCTGTCACCATCATCGCAACTGCTGGGGCGCGCGCGCACTTTGGTGTGGCAAATGTCGCTGAGGAACGGAATGTCAAGCGGGCGGCACAGGATTTCCGGCACCACATGCGACGTGGCCACGAGCCTTGCCTTGGACAGGTCCACGCGCGTGAGCAGGTGCGGATTGTCTGCAAAGACGAGCTGGTTGATGGGCACCAGGACCGACGACGCGCTCGGCAAGCGCAGGTTGGGGAGGTCGCGGGTTTCTGCTGCAGACAGCGCCACCATGTGCTGCACCACAGTCACCACGCCCACGAGCTGGTTTGGCGTCAACACGCGCCCGCGGCTCGAAGCCGCAATCGCCTCCACCGCGCTGGCCAGCCCTTGTACCGTCACGCGGTCTTCCACGCCAATGGCCGTCAGCAGTGTCTTGAATCTGCTGTACTCGCGCGGAACCTCATGCACAAACGGCGCCAGCTTGCGCTCGCATTGCCAGTAGGCACGCTGGGCGGGCACAAGCTGGCTGTTGCACGGGAGAAGTGGGAGGCGCTTCAGCTGCGAGACGATGTCGCGCGACAGGTGCCCATCGTTCGAATCCATCATGGCTTGGAAGTGCTCCAGGCAGGCAACCACCACGTCCTTTTGGTCCCGCCATGGCAGATGGCTCATGGGCAGGCGAGCGAGCTGTTGAACAATCGTCTCTGGCGGCGGCGGCGACTTGATGCCCAGCAGCTGGCGAACTGTCTGCGGTGGCGTGTGGTCCTCCTCCAGCACAGGCACCACGAGTCCAGCAAGCCTCTCATCGCTCTTCAAGCTGTAGCGTGCGTGTGCGTGTGTGCATCCGTGAATGAGCATCAGAGAATGTGTTTGTGCGTGTACGAGTGTGTGTATGCGTGTGTGTGGGTGCATAGATATGTGTACGTATATGGGTTGGTAGAGCAACGGGCACATCCAGGCAAACGAATATTAACTGATGCCTGGTGACCCGATAACAGCCACCAAAACCACACACACACACACACACACACACACACACACACACACACACACACACACACACACACACACACACACACACACACACACACACACACATACACACACACCAACGCACCAGCAGTCCCGATAGTTGCAGATGGTTGCTGTTCCTTGTGAATCGGTCGCAAACACAAAGCGGCGCGTCCTCAGTTCAGACCAGGCTGCACGCGTCAAATCACGAGCCGTAGCCGCCCACGCTGATAACCTAAACCAAGCAAGCAAGCGCGTCGTCCCGTCAGTACCAGAGAGGCTGCACACACACACACACACACACACACACACACACACACACACACACACACACACACAACAACACACACACACACACAACAACACACCCCAAGTTCGGGCGGGTCTTTGCTATTACAAGGGGGACGCAATCTGTGTGCGCTGCGCGAGGGAACGAGAGGCCAATTGGGACTTTACAGCGCAGCCCGTCAGGCGGCCCTTCAGATTCACTGGTCAAGGTTGCGTTAACCAAGATGAGAATTGGGTGGCACCGTTCGCGACACACACACACACACACACACACACACACACACACACACACACACACACACACACAAAAGCCATACACGCACACACAAAAGCCATACACGCACACACACATCCGCACATGCACACACACACAAAAGCCATACACGCACACACGCACGCACACACACACACATACACACACGCACACAAACGGACAGCCAAGCAATAGACCCACAGCCCTGCCCTCGCTCAAAACCAAACGCACGCTTGACTGAGTTGGATGCAGACGTCTCGGTCAGGCACGTCGCCACTGCCCACCGCTTCATCGTTCTCCTCGCCTTCGTCTCCCTCCTCAGGAGCGTCAGTGCCTTGAACCCCAAACCTGTTCCACCAGTCGTGGACAATGATGCACAGATGCATATTGGTCTGTGGGCCGTCGTCAATGAGCGCGCCTGCTGTCTGCAGCAGCGGCTGCCAGCGCTGGAGCGGGTACGTGTCAGCACACATGGTGCCAGCCGGTGCCAACCGACACGCAAGCTGCACCTTGTCGCTTGGTGAATCGGGGTGCATGAGCTCATTCGCCCGGCGGTAATCGCCCTGCGCCGTCTTAAAGCAGGGCGCAGACTGCAATCGCTCAACAAACGTTGACGCGTTCGCTCGGCAGGCGTCCCACTCGCCCAGGGCCTGGTCCATGATGGTGTGCTGTTCGTCGTGGCCCAGCGCCTCAAACTGCGGCGCAATGCGATACTCCAACAGACTGGGCAGCGATTGCATCTCCATGTCGAGCAGGTCATACAGCTGCTGAGCCCGAGCATCATGGGCCACCAGGACTCCGGCATCGTCGGCGAGCTGTGCCGCGCGCGTCTCTGCACTCGCGACACCGGCAGCCTCGGCAGCACTCAGCAACGTGTCGGCACAGCTCTTGAAGATGTGCAGCTGCTTCAGCCCGTCCAGGCTGGCGCTCGTGTTCTGTAGTGAATGCGCAACGCGGCACAAGTGCTGGTACAGCACGTCGCACTCGGCCGAGTGTTGCTCGCATCGGTCACGCGAGAGCTGCTGCAACGCGTGGCAGGCGGCGAGCCGATCCACAACATACTCCGCCCAGGCCGCTGTCTCGTGCTCCGTTGTTTGTGCGGGGGCGGGTCTTCCGAACAGCATGGATGGGGCACGCTGGTCACCGGCATCATCCACAAAGACGTCATCGCCCAACACGTGCACTCCACACACAATGTTGAGCGCAGCAACAAGCTCACTGGGCATGGTTGAAGCGTGTTCAAGCACCGTGCTGCGTGCGCTCAGCGGCAACACCACGTTGTCTTGTGTCGGAAGGATGACAAAGTCGTTGAGGGGATGTACCCATTCTTCCACAAGCGTGTCCTGTTCCACTTCCGTTCGCGATTGAGCCGCGCGTTGACGGTTGACGTACGTGACCGTGCATCCGTTGATGTGATGCACCAGCAGCTTGAGGCCGGGGAGGATGCGCTGCACTGTTTCTTGCTCCTCGCGGTCCAGGGTGTCCACGTCAGCCTCGGTTCCGCGCCACAGCCACATTGGCATTTGTTGGCGCAGCAGCACAGCCAACAGCGCTGGTGTCAGCGTTTCATGTACATCATATCCCGCTGGGAATGAAGTCACTGCTTGCCCCAGCTCTTGGGAAAAAGTTTCATGGAGCCAGTTCATCGGAAACCCAAACGCAGCAGCCACAGCCTAATCCAGCATACGCACGTCAGTGAGTGAGTGAGTGAGTGAGTGAGTGGGTGGGTGGGTGTGTATGTGGGTTAGGGGAGCGGGAAGCGCAAGGCTGCACAAATTGGCATCGTTCTGTGAATGCCATGAACGTTCAGCACAAACCTGGTACATCACCAGTCCCCCATCTCCACCCCGCTTCACACACACACACACACACACACACACACACACACACACACACACACACACACACACAACAACAACACACACACACACACACACAC